ATAAAATAAATAATAAAAACAAAGGTCGATCAAATGGACCAATACGGCAATGCCATGATGATCCATTTGGCAAAATAAATCCATTGGGTATCCTTGTTGGTCTTCAGACAACAATTCTGACAGCCCAAGAACCAAATGGGACAGGCAAAGGAAAAAAAAAAAACAGTGGCAGAGGCCAAGGTGTGGTTTGCAGAGTCAGTATGTTAGAGAAGAGTGGTGTGCACTAATACACCACTTACTGTTCTCTAATGTCCTGGAGCCTGACACTGCAGGGTTCCCCGTACAGCCACATGTATGTGCTCTGCAGCAGCTCAGAGCAGTGAGATGTGGTCCAGCTAAGTCAGGGACAGCGTTTGGGGTGAGCCGTTCTGATGCACCAGAGAAACTAGAGCAACTTTAGTCTGTTTTACAGTGTTTCACTGTTCTGTCTCAAGGAGACTGCGTGTATTATCATGTACAGACGTGTACGTACACTCATCATGGCCATGTAATATTTAATCATTTAACCAGTGTAAATATGGGTCAGTTATTTTGGTATTTTTATGCTGATGTCAATCAAGGGCTGATATCCAGTCAGCGTACAGGTGCACCTGTGATTATTCTCATGTTGGTGTTTGTATCATCCAAAAAAATCCTAAAAAGAACCCGAAGCTTAGATTGACATCGCTGTTAGGCTGGGTGTGGGTGAAGGTTTGTGCTTTAACTCTGTTTAGTGTTAGAGGAAAAGGACTTGAAGTCTTTGCTGAAGCATTTCCATGGTAATAGAGTACTGACTGGGACTTTGTTCTTTACAATGATGTCAGTACAGCCGAGCACACACTCTGCATCTCAAGTGTTCACTTCCCAGGGAGACGGTTTGGTGACAGCCTCCCCAGAGACACCGAGCAGCTTTGGTACAACTACACAGAAAGGACTCCACACCAAGTCATGTAACAGAGTAAACTTACAATAAGCCTTGGCCTGGCCGAGGACACGAGGAGGAAGGACGAGTCTGAGTTAGAGACACGTACATAAAGGGTGAGGCTGAGGTTGTGCAGTCCAGTTAGAAATCTATCGTATTAATAACATTACAAAACCATATTTTCAGCATGAAGTAGTGTCTGTGGTTGATTTGACTGAATGTCACACTGTATACATGCTGTTTTCTTTTAAACACGTTCTGGAAATGTAATGTGTATACACACTACCGCTCAAAAGTTTAAGAAAACCCAAAATTTTCCAGTTTTTTATTGAAAATGATGCAGTTTAATGTCTCATTGAACTCTGAAATGAAAGCATAGCACAAATAAGTAATTGGAATTAAAAATGAAATCATGGAATCAGTTTATAGACCAAACTGTATTCTAACCATTGACCCATCAGAGTAGCCCCCTTTGGCAGATACAGCAGCTGAATACAGCCGTGGCTTCTTTCTACAATAGAAATCAAATATTCTCCCATATCTGTAGCAGAAGTTCCCATAAACGTGGACCTTGTAGGTTGCTTTGCTTTCACTCTTCTGTCCAGTTCAAACCAGCTCGATGGGGTTTAAGTCTGGAGACTGTGCTGGACACTCCATGTTTTCAAGCTCACCACCTTGTTCTTTGTTCCTGAGGTAGTTCTGGCACAGCTTGGATCTATGTTTTGGGTCTTTATGTTGCTGTAGGATGAAGCCCTGACCAACTAGGCTCATACCAGAGGGTCCTGCATGGTGCTGCACAATGCTGTGGTACGCGTTTTGGTTCAGGGAGCCTCTCACTCTGTACAAGTCACTGACCCTGGATCCAGCAAACAGCCCCAGACCATCACACTTCCTCCTCCATGCTTGACAGTTGATACCACACACTGTGGAACCATCCTTTACCTACTCGACCACAAAGATCCTGTGTGATGAACACAAGGTTTCAAATGTGATCCATCAGTCCATAATACCTTCTTCCAGTCTTCAGTAGTCCAATGGTGGCGTTTCACAGAACAAACAAAGCCTCTTTGTCTTATTCTGACGTCTGGCTTTCTTGCTGCAACTCATCCTGTCAAACCTGCAGCTCAAAGTCTTCTCTTCACAGTTGAAACTGAGACTTTCTTACTACGACCACTGTAAAGCTGCTTGAAGCTGTTGTCCTGTCAGCCGCCTATCACACAGCTGTTAACTCTCAGAAACTTGTCCTCTGATTCAGTCGTGTCTTTGGGTCTGCAGACCTCTTCCTGTCACAGTTTGTTTCTGAGCCTTTGGATGGTGAAGGAAACTGTACTCACTGACACCTTGACTTTGCAGTTTCTCTGTAGGACAGACCGACATTTATAAGTGTTATGATGGTCTGTCTCTCTTCCATTGTTAATCACCTTTTTCTCACACACTCACACACGCAGCATTTGAAACATTAGTATTAGATGCATGTTGTCACACTTCCATGTTTCAGATTATCAAACAAATATTAACATTAGACAAACAGGAATAAACACAAACTGCAGTTTTTACGCCTCAGCCATAAAAAGGTGTGATGTCATCACCCTCCTGGGTTGGCGGTGATGACATGTCTAAGGCTACGTTCACACTGCAGGCGAAAGCGCATCAAAT